ATGAATTTTTGCACTTTTATGTTCCTTTTTTCGATTTCTGGTTTCTGGCTTTCGATTGAGATGGTGATTTTTCACAATTTCTAATTTTTTTTAATATTTCGAATACCGAAAAAATTAACTGAACTCTCAAGAAAAACCAACAATTCATATAAAACGAAATTTTCTTCTACCAAAATTTCTTAAATCAGTTTGCAGCTCTCAAGAAAAAAATGCTCGTATATTCATTTCCTCATGAAAATTTACAGCAAAAGCAAAGCGCTTTTTCAAGCAACAGAAATTATAATAAATATTTCTTATAATTTCCTTGAGAGCTGGATTCTTAGCTTTAAGATACAGTTTGTATTTGAGGTTATTAGCTTTAGGGGGGGTTTGAACCCCAAAACCCACCCCTTGTGTGCGCTAATGACGCGAACTTATACAGCAGAAGGTAATGGACATAACCAGCTCCCAAAATAAAGCATCAACTACCAGAACAACAGACACAACAAAACAATCCCTTCACAAATTTGAGGACTAGGTGGTCCACTGAGTCGTAGTTTAGAGTGGAATGTGAAAAAGAACCAATTGTATACTAGTAACTTGTTGCAGAAACGAGCTACTGGACCACTTCAGACGTAAAAAACTGACAGGTCCAATGACATCGCAATGTTAATGCAACCATATTTTCTCCATATATTTGGACCATTTTGGTTACTAGTGTTGCCCTGCAGTGAAAAGCCAAACCAGTTAGAAAAAATACTAGTTCATTAAGTAGTATGTGCCTACCAGTTCGACAATTTCGAAGAACTTAGGCGATCAGCGACATCTGCCTTTGAATTGCCAAAGCCAAAAATAAAACGCAATTATAATTGCTTTTCTTACAAATGTCGGCTGTGGCGTCACGTGAAGACTACTGGTTCTGGTTCTGAAATTGCAGATTCGAGGCCGCTTGGAGGTGGTTAAGATTTTTAAAGTTAAATAAATGTAAGTAAAAATAATTTATTCAATTTATAAATAAATAACAAATTTGATAATCTAATTGCATTGCAAAAAAACATTTAGGAAGAAATGCTTGTGCTATAAAAACAAAGAAATTAAACAAAAATATTTTTTTTTTTTAAATTTAAAAATTACAATAAACAGCCTAAACAAAAAAATAAATTTATAAAAAATAAAAATAAAATAAAAAATAGAAAATAAAAAAACTTTCCCTGCGCCAGGATTTGAACCTGGGACCTCAGGCTTACCACGCGAGTGCTTTGCTCTGTCGGCCATTGTGACTGCTGGAGCGTCGCGAGCAAAAAGGCACACTTATGCTTTTCACGGGGCATGAATTGGCAGACTATCTCATCAACTGGTATGATGCTACTAGTATTTATACTAGTAGATGCTGATGCATAGCCTGACAATTGACATCTCGTAGGACATCGCAATGTTAAAAATACCAGTCGCTAACATTGAAAAAGGATAGAACGTGAACCAGTTCGGCTGAAACGCAAACCGGTAGAATTCTAGTTCACAACTAGTAGCTTTCCCTGCAGGGTGGTTACAAGGTAGCGTTCACTTCAACGAACTAGTTCACTATGTCGGTCTGCTTATTGAACTAAATTTGTCAGTGCTACAATTTCTCATTTTGGATCGCGATCCAAATATTCTTGGCACGAACGTATGACATTTTTAAACACTTATGCATTGTTGCTACTTCAGTTCATTGCAAAGGAGTTTTTTTCCTGGTAGAGCAATTACTAAACTAGCGTAGAACGCTTTTAAAATCAAACAAGCTTTCTAATTTAATGTTTTTTGCACAGCACAGGTTTGAAATGCAAAAAGGGTTTGTAATGTAAACACTATTGACTTCGGTTGAAGGGTTAAATCCTGCTGTTCCACAGGAAGAAAGAGTGTTCCCGCTCAAACGGGGGCATTTATGTTCCTATCGTGTTCTTTTCAATTCGTCCCACTTCTTCTTGATATACCCATGGCCCGTTGGTGTGTCTAGGACATCTGTGGCATCTTAAAAATTTTTTGCTTCTTTGTATTCATACATAAAGGATCGGGCTTTATTAAGTCATCCCAACAGTAAATTTATGGAGCGGTATCTAAATATCTTAGTGTTTGGCCGAGCTTCTCCTCCGATTTGTGGCGTGCGCCTTGATGTTATCACACAAAGCGGAGGGACCTACAGTTTTACGCCGACTCCGAACGGCGATTGTATTTGTATGAGAAGCTGTTTTTCATGGCAGAAATACACTCGGAGGTTTGCCATTGCCTGCCGAGGGACGACCGCTGTTAAGAAAAAACGTTTTTTCTATATTTTTTGCGATGTTGCGGTGGTGAGTTTTCGTTAACACGCGAATCCCATAAGCTAGATCGTGTCTGCGTCAACCTACGTATACGCTACGTCGTTGACTAACTGAGCTTTCACTCTCTTTCAGTTTACTATAAACGCCACACCCTCTTGTACAAACTCATTTGTATACATTTACCATACTCACCGAATTTCAAAGTCATGTGAGTTAGGGGCCCGTGGCACCTTGTGCAAACTCACTAATATTTACATCGCTATAAGCGCCTACTTTATTTATGTCTTCTCATTAAATTTCGAAGTCATGTGAATTATCGTTCCCAAGTTATAGCTGATTAAAATTTTACGCCTGTAAGATGTTCCACTCCCCGTTTTACAAACTTATTATATATATGGATACTTTACTTTAAACATCTATCATAGATCTGTCTTGACACCAAATTTGAAAGTCGTGTGACTTACGGTTCCCAAGTTATAGCTGATTAAAATTTTACGCCTGTAAGATGTTCCACTCCCCGTTTTACAAACTTATTATATATATGGATACTTTACTTTAAACATCTATCATAGATCTGTCTTGACACCAAATTTGAAAGTCGTGTGACTTACGGTTCCCAAGTTATAGCTGATTAAAATTTTACGCCTGTAAGATGTTCCACTCCCCGTTTTACAAACTTATTATATATATGGATACTTTACTTTAAACATCTATCATAGATCTGTCTTGACACCAAATTTGAAAGTCGTGTGACTTACGGTTCCGAAGTTATTGCAGATTAAAAGTTTCACGCCTATGGGAGGTGCCACGCCCCTTTGTACAAACTCATTCACATATACCTTACTATAAATGCCTACCATGGATATGTCTTCATACGAAATTTCAAATTCATGTGACGTATGATTTCGAAGTTATGGCTGATTAAAAATTTCACACCCATAGGAAGTGCCACGACTCTTTTACAAAAGTATATCTACTTTACTATAAGCATCTATCATAGAAATGTATTTGAACACACCAAATTTCAAAGTCATGTGACTTACGGTTTCCAAGTTATAGCTGATTAAAAATGTCACGCCTATGGGAGGTGCCACGCCCCCTTATCAGATCCCATTTTTTTATACCCCAGGTTACGTCCGAGGTCACTCTCTATACACCAGTTAAAGCCCCGGAGATTAGTGAGTTCAAACAGACAAACAATTTACAGTTTTATTATAGTATAGAATATAGATGTTAAAGTAGATATTTGTGTAAGTACGGTGTTAAATAAGTTTAATTGTTCATTTGCACGTCATACATGTAAGTTCCTTTCGTTATTTTTGCCAAATGTAAATATTTCCAATTTTTGTATTTATGTATTTATTGTTGAAACAGAAAAATAAACAACCATCCCCTGAAGATGCTAATGAGTTTAGCGAAACGTCAGGCAACAATAGCGAAATAACTTTGTTTTATTATTTGCACTAGAGGATACAAGATCGGAAAAGCCTATTATAATTTAAAATCACGTAAAATTGAACGTTTAGCGCAAATAATGCTTTTTGAATTCTTCTCCTTGGTATATGAGAAGTTGGTAAAAAATTCAATTGATTAAAAAAATTAATTCTTACTAATATTATTAATCCGAAAGTGAGTCTGTTTGCTACGCTTTCACGCTTTAACTACTCAACCGATCATCATGAAATTTTGTACACTGCTGTCATTTAGCCAATTTAAAATATAGGATAAATTTAATCTCGATTAGACAAGGGGGCGTGGCATATCCCATACAAACGGAATTTTTCATACTGCATTTCTCAGGAAATATTTTTGATAGATTACTGGAGATATAAAAAACCATTATCTACTCATGGATGAGGGCTGCCACCTTTTAAAAAATCAAATTCAACTTCAAGTAAGGGAGTTATTTATTTGAAAATTATATTAAAAAATGGGTCTAAGGAACGCTTAAAAAAGCTGTATCTCGAATATATTTTGAAAAGGGTCAAATTTAAATTAATTATACGCAAGCTATCTGATGAAATAAAATATGGTTGTCTAACGAAATATTATTAAGAAACCTTTAGTTCGAAAGTTTTGAATAATATCACTGGACCACAAATTTCAACTTTTTCTCTTTACCAGAAACGCCGTTATGAAATTCTTATGTAAAATCACCCCCTGATTCCGAAAATCAAGGTTATTTTTAATTTTATGGTACCGTTTTTGAGATATTTGCAATTTACCGTTTTTGCAAAAAAAAAAAAAATTGGGTCCACTTTATCATATATATCTCAAGAACGAATTAAGCAATTCCAAAACGGTTTGAAGCTTTTAAAAGGTAATAAAATTTTCTATAAACTGTGCATACAACACTTTTTGCTAGGCCCTGTAGATTCAAAGATAACGAACAATCATTACCGATTTTTTCAATTTTTTTTGTAAAAATATAAAAAAAATTGTACTTTGCGGGGAAGGATCTCGAAAACCTTTTATTTTTTTGCAGATTTTTTTTTTCTCCCTAAGCTCTGTTATATTACAAAAAAAATAAGGTATCATCGAAGAAAATCGATGCAAAACTACGTAAGTTATAAGCGATCAAATAAAAATACCCAGGTTGCGCAATTTCAACGTATACCTCAAAACGTATGTATGGTATAAAGAAGAGTGAAATATCTAGCTATGCTCTGTTTCTATTGAGTTAAAAGTTCAATTTATGAATGAAATTACCCATATTTTTAACTTTTTTTTTAAATTTATTTATGTTTATACTATATTCTAACAATCTTTATCTTAATTTGATTTTACTATGTTGTCGAAATAATTATGTGTTCTACTTTGACGCTTATTCAGTTTAGGATCGGTTTCTCTTATGAGAAACCAGCAGTAATCACCCATCATTGCGACGTCCCAGAATCCTTGATATCGATTCTCAATTAATTTCATTTGCTGATGAAACCTTTCGCCATGTTCATCACTTTCGTCGCCAAGATTTGCCGGAAAAAAGCTCAAATGTGAGTGGAGAAAGTGAATTTTTAAAGACATATTTACGCCCATTTTCGCATAATTATTGATTAGGTCGTTCACTATCTGCTCGTAGTTAGGGCTTTTGTGTCTACCGAGAAAAGAAGCAACGACCTTTTCAAAGGATTCCCACGCTGCTGCCTCAACTGATGAGAGTAGTCCTTTGAATTGATTATTGTTGATCAACTTTCTTATTTGTGGTCCAACAAAAATACCTTCCTTTATCTTGGCTTGAGAAATATCTGGAAAAACTGTTTTCAAATAGTCGAATGCTTCGCCTTCTTTGTCCAAAGCCTTAACAAAGTTTTTAATGAGACCGAGCTTGATGTGTAAGGGTGGAAGTATGATTTTCTCTTTCTTGACAAGAGGGGTGTATTTGATGTTATCCACACCAACGGTAAACTCGACTCTTTCCGGCCAATCCTTTCTGACGTAGTGGTCCTTACGAGCTCGGCTATCCCACTTGCAGAGGAAGCAGCAGTGCTTGGTGTAGCCACTTTGTAGACCGCATAGCATTGCAACGACTTTGAGATCAGAACATATTTTCCAATCATGCTCTTCATATTTGATAAATTTGAGTATTTTTTGCATTTCCTCGTAGGTTTCCTTTGTATTTACTGCATGTGCAATCGGGATAGAAGGCTTTTTGTTACCAATATGCAATAATACAGCCTTCAAACTCAGTTTATTGCCGTCTATGAACAATCGCCACTCTTTTGAATCATATGTTTGACCAAACTCTTTGAATAAACCAGGGATGTCGTTGCAGTAGCATATACTGTCTTTCTTGGTATAGTGTTTGGAAAATGGTTCGTGACGAGTTCTACTATATGTCACCTTAACATCGGATGACACAAATTTAAATTGTTGCATACGAGAAGTGTGGATCTCGGCCTTTTCCTTGGATAGTTCCAAATCTCTTATCCAATCATTAAGTTGTGCTTGTGACAGAACGTTTCTTTCGTTTTCCATGCGAAATTCAGTACAACTTGATCCCCCGCACTCAGATGTTACTGTTGACAATGGAACTGGATCCGCAACTGCCGTTGAATGTAGTACTGGTAATGTCACTGTAGGTACGCTAGCATAGGTTACTCCTCTTGATCTTCCAACGCCAAGTACTTTTGTTTGACAAATATAACACTCTATTGAATGGCAAGTAGGTTCTCTCCATATCATTGGTGTATCAAATTTTGTTTGTTGTCCTGATTCCCACTGAATCAATTCTACTCGACACGATGTACACAAAGTGTTCGGTGTCCATGGTTTTTCAGCATTTTTAGGCTCAATTCCAAAATACTTGGAGTATAAAGTTTTGATATGATCTGAGAACACTCGTCGTCGCCTTATGATAGTATATTGGCCACACATGAAACAGAACATATCTGGATCCTTATTACACTCAAATTCTCGCGTCCTTTTACTCATTTTATTTTTTTTAATAAATCACGGTTTTGAAATTAGACTTATGAACTGAACTATCTCCGGCGAGCCTTGAAGATGTTATGAAGTTTCAAAGCGCATTAACTCATATTTATACTCGGAACAAGAATAAAATTGAAAAAATCAAATCTTACCTAGACAGAAAGGTTCCTTTTTATAACAAGCCGGGAAAAGAAAATACTACCTGTTTTAGATGTAGGCTTTAGAAATTTTCTGTGTCTTATAATTTTGAAAATCTACCTGCATACTTACCCATAACTGACGGAAATACATGTTTATAACTACATGCCTACAGCAGGTTTCGAACCCAACCACTCTTCCTTTCGATGCAACCACTCTACCTACTATAATACAATTCGAGTATTAAAAGTACTATTTGATTTATTTAAAGAAAAAGTGTTATCATTGTTATGGTGTTATTCGTTTATCCGGATAATATCTCACTTGCACTTTATACCTTTAATATATGTATGTATGTATAGGTACATACATTGAAGTTGCGCAACCTGGGTATTTTTATTTGATCGCTTATAACTTACGTAGTTTTGCATCGATTTTCTTCGATGATACCTTATTTTTTTTGTAATATAACAGAGCTTAGGGAGAAAAAAAAAATCTGCAAAAAAATAAAAGGTTTTCGAGATCCTTCCCCGCAAAGTACAATTTTTTTTATATTTTTACAAAAAAAATTGAAAAAATCGGTAATGATTGTTCGTTATCTTTGAATCTACAGGGCCTAGCAAAAAGTGTTGTATGCACAGTTTATAGAAAATTTTATTACCTTTTAAAAGCTTCAAACCGTTTTGGAATTGCTTAATTCGTTCTTGAGATATATATGATAAAGTGGACCCAATTTTTTTTTTTTTTGCAAAAACGGTAAATTGCAAATATCTCAAAAACGGTACCATAAAATTAAAAATAACCTTGATTTTCGGAATCAGGGGGTGATTTTACATACGAATTTCATAACGGCGTCTCTGGTAAATTTTGGCCGTCGACCAGTGTATTTAAGTCTTTCACAAGGGTTGCAACCTTTTTACAAATTATTTTAAATTAGATATTACAGTACAAGGCGCGGAATGGTTCTGGCAGTTGATTTATCGGTGGTGATTTGAGATTTACCCCTGCACAACTCAACCCTGGTGCCTACGAATGAAGCTTTAACGCATAATAATACTGGCAAATCACATCCATTGGGCCAATGTAACACACAAGAGTTCGGTATAGTCAGTGGTGCAGCAGGTCGATTTAATCAGATATTCACGGTACGTTTTCTAACTTGGCGATTATTCGTAATGAGTCCAGCGCCACCTGGCAGCCCTTTTTGGCAGTAGTATTGCCTGTACCGTTACCAATACATATTTTGAATAAAAGTGTGTGTAGAATTATATATGTGTATTTGTACGGTGCCACGCCCTCTTTCCAAATATCCCATTTTTCACCATGAGTATAAGATTGATTTCATATATCGCCGTACCAAGTTCCAGTATTCTACCACGAACACTTCCAGAGATATGCAATATGAACAAATTTTGTATATTTTTGTATGGTTTGTATGGGAGGTGCCACGCTCCCCTCATACATCGAAATTTTGTTTAGCCTATAACCATCCTTGGGACGTCTGAAGCAGGTGTCTGAAATTTCAAAAAAAATCGGTGGTATTTAATATGTATCACATAGGTTGCCTTCTTTTTAAAAGGTTAAATTCAAACTGTTCAATAATTTGAATGAATTATTACAATATGAGTATCAATCGAAATGGTTTTTAAAGGGCTTCATTTCAATACTACATGTAAGAGGTTTCCATCTGTTTAAAATCTCAAATTGAGTTCAGGGGATACGTTAATTGAAAAAGTATGACAAGTGAGAAGTTTAAGAAAGTTTTAGTTTGAAAATATTTTGAAGATGGTTAAACAAATTTCAAACCTCCTGTTTTTAATTGAGTTTTCTTGAAATAAATTTTACTCAATACAGCACCTAGAAATTTCATACACTCAGTGAAGCGGGTGAGGTCGATCTAGTTTTTTTATAAAACAGGAATCGAAATTTTACAAACTGACCAATGAGTTCTCTAACTGCTGTCAAAAATCATGAGATTCGAATGAATGGTTGCTGAAATATTTCAAAATGAGTAAAAGCCTGCATAAAAATTTGTTT